TAGATCCAAAAGATAAGCATATACACAAAAACAAGCATGGTCATATACAAACTCATATACAGGACATGTTTGGAAAAGTGGAACTACTCTTTGGAACTTGAAGAAAGAGGGAAACAAAAAAAGAATGATAGAGCATGAATAATATCATAAAACATAACATCTGTGAAGGTAGAGGATACAAGGATGTGTATTGAAAGCTGTTGAAAACTGGGGCAGGGGGGTGAGAGATAAAGGGGTAAGGGAGAGTAATGGAAGGAGTTGAATGGACCAAAATAAAGTATACCCACAGTGGGAATATATTGACAAATCTAAATTTTAATAATGAAAGGCAGGACTGTGAAATAGGTACAGTGCATGGGGTGGTACTAGTGGGAGGGTAGATAGTGAATGAAGGAGATTAAGGTGAGGGTATATGGTTGATGGAATTCATATACTTATATGAAATAAAGAAACCACTTATAAATGCTTTAAAGTGGGGTAGGGAGGGGTTGAGGAGGAGAGATGATGGAGGTGAACTAACCAATGTATAATATAAGCCTAATCAGAATTGTCACTATGAATTCCCCCCTGTATAATGAATATATCCCAGTAAAATTTCTTTTACTAAAAAAATAAAAAAAATTAGAGCAAAATATTAAACAGTAATTTCAACCTATCAATTTCAATTTCATCCTGCTCTTCTCAGTAACTTTTAGTAACTATCTTGTCACGAATTCCCTAATATGCAGACTACTGCCATCACCACCAATTTCTTTTACTCAAGCACTGTTAGGTGTTAGTGTGTATGTACAGCATGTACAGGTAAACAAATGTGCATGATTTAACTCCCTGTTTAACTCCCTGTAGTACAACCAGGTTTTAACATTCACACATGTAAGTCTCCTATAATTGTTATAAGCTAAGTCAGTCTTGTTTTCAATACTTCCTGAGTATCTGTCATATCCAAATTCATATATTCTCATTTAAGTCTTACATCTGCTTGGAAAATAGTCATGGAAGTGATGGGTGTTCTCATTTTCTATGTTGAAACTGAGATAGTAAGAAAAAAAACAAGATGTAAGACTACATCTTATTTGAATTTGAATGTTTGTATGATTTTACAAAAACCATTGATGATAACTTTATTGTTAAATTTAGTACCTGGTTTTTAATCATAATCTTAGCTAACTTCTTTTTGGTATGTGACATCACTGACATCTGTATTCTTCTAATTTTTGTTAGAGTCTTGCTCTGTAGCCCAGGCTGGCCTCAAACTCATGATCCTCCTGCCTCAGTCTTCCACATGCTGTGATTACAGATGTGTGCCATGAAAGTCAACATTTGCTGTCTTCTTAAAACATTGTTTTCTGTGTTTGGAGTGTGGCTCAAATTGTGTAGTGCTTTCAAGTGCAAAGTCCTGAGTTTAAACCCTACTACTGCCCAAGCTAAAATGTCTTTTATTCCCTTCACTTCCTTCCACATTTTTCATCAAGTTATCAATTTCTTCTCAGTTGTGTTTTAAGACACTTTCATCTGCTTATTCTTAAATGTTATTTCCCTCAGGATTTTATTCTTGCCTTTAATCTTGTGTACAAAGCTTCAAGAGTTATCAATATATTGGTGATTTCCAAATGAATGATTGTAGACACTACTTAGCCTCAGGTTCATATTTTCCAATATGCCAGTATCTTCCAGAGTCACTTCAAGTTCAGCATGTCCAAAAATAACAGCTATACAGCTAAACAGTTTTCCACATTTCCTGTGTCATAACCGAATGTGCCTCTCTTTGCATTTTCTTAATCCATGCCTTATTTTCTAAAAACCACAAATACCAAGAATATAGAAGTACTAGTCTGAAAGGTAAGTATCATCTCTGGGATAGAATCAAGGAAGGATTAAAATGCATGAAGAATTCAGTTCCTCAGCCATGCTAGTCATATTTCAACACTAACAAATACATGGTTATTGCATTGGATAACACAGATGCATAATATACCATTATCACAGAAAGTCCCACTGGACAGCATTCATCAGTCTCCACCATGCAGATAATAGAAGAATTGTGACTCAAGGACCCTTTAGAAATCTTCAATCAGGTTCTATTTATAATATATTTTAAACTTTATCTCTTTTTCTTATTGTCTTTGTACCCAATAGGACTCCTAGTCACAAATATTTCTAAATTCAGATGCATTCTTCAAATTGTTACTAAATATATCGATCTTGTTACTTTTCTGACTCAAATATTTTATAACTCATCATTTCATGCAGTATAAGGTTCTTGCTTGCTAATGTAGAAACACTTGTCACCCAATTTACTGCTCTGATCTCAAAAGATATTATACCTTATACACACCCCTTGAATTCCACACATAGGAGTTCCCTGTTCTACGAACAAAACATAGCCTGTTACAATGCAGCCTGAAATGTCTCCCTTCCTTTATTCAGTTCTATCTCTTTATAGGACTCAATTCAAGCAGCACTTCCTTAGTGTAATGTTTTAAAACTTTAGAACATTTAGAATTCCCAGTTCCTATTTCTATCACATTACATTGTGACTATCAGTTTATATGTCTGTTTCCCTCCATATGCTATGAGTTTTTTAAGTGATAGTATCTTATTTTATCTACTAATTATGTAGCATAGTGCATTTTGCAGAGATATTATTTGATTTTGTTGCTGTTTTGAAACAATAAAATGATGAAAATGAATGAATGGGTTACAAAATTGAGAATGTCTTTCTTCTGTAAACAATCCTTTAATAATTTTATGTGATATTTGCCAAAACCTCCTCCCCACCAGTCACTATATTCTACTTGACCTAAGAGAAATAAACTCGGCAGGTCAAAAAACAATTTATGGATCAAGTGGCAGAATTCCTGCCTACAAAGTACAGGACCCTGAGTTCAAACCCCAATGCTGCCAAAAACCAATTTTTATAAGTCAATATAACAATTTTTTTGTTTAGTAGCTGAAAAGGTACAGAGGTCTTAAATTGTCAGTAGTTTTTCATTGTGCCAAAGTATTCAGGTGAAAATAAAGGCAAATAATAACAGCAAGACCAAACCCAAATATTTTCAAATACACACTGTGGGAAAGCTCGTGGAAAAATAGTATAAAGACTCCCTGGTGATTAAAATTGGTACGCTAAGTAAAGCATACACGGATGACTTAATTTTCTCTAACTTGATATCTTATTTCTTAAATCTTTCTTTTAACTATCAAACTCAATTTTGCTTCATAGTATAGATGTGCATTGTTTCTTTTCCAGAAATAGAAAACCAATATCATGATGACATTTGGGGGATTGAAAAAAGCATAACAGAAATGAATAAAATCTAAGTAATGTTGGAAGAACTTTTTTTAGGTGAAAAGAATATATAACAACAACAACAGTGATTCTGAGTTCTGAAAAAAATTATTAAATTTGTGATTGTCTGTAGAACTTATCAACTTTTTAGACTTTCAAGTAATTTTTAATGTTACCAATGAAATCTCTACCTGGAAGTGATCCATTTGTGGCACAAATTAATTCTCAATTATTTAGCAAAATTCAGAAACATGGGTAGGATGTCTGTAATTATATTACAAAGGAAGCATTTAGAACCAAGTACCACAAATATTTAACTAACGGTACATACAGAGAGCAATTCTGAAGATGGTGCTCACTTAAAAGAATGATTAATTGACGAGCTATACTGATGAGTGAAGAACACCCTTTTATTTTAAAGTAAATTCATTCATCATGTCTTTATTTCATCTCACAATTTGTCAGCTTTTTAACTAAGAACAATAACATGTCAAAATCTTGCTGTGTGGTCTCAGAATTTTTTGAGTTGAAAAGATCCATTTACCACAATTTTTTCTGCTTTTTCAGTTTTGTAGAGTTTTTTCATAGTTTAAATAGACTATTCCATGGCTGATGTTTAGACTGTAGATTATACTTTTAATATAGAAATTTATAAACAAGACAACTAAATTTTAGTATTTCTCTACCTTTAAGATTAGCTTTCACTATATTTATGGTGGGATAAAAATATTACTTTGTTATAATTGAATTTCTATCAAACGGATTAGTTTTCTTAAGAAATAAGCATTGAAATGTCTCATGAACAGCACACTTTGTATATATGTTTATCACAATATAACTCTTGAAATATATTTAATTGATTGTAAATCTCTTTTGATATATTTTACTCAGCTCATTTATATAAATAATGTCAATCTCCAGCACAGCTTTTCATGGTCAGGATACTGTTGTTATAAGGCATGCTTCAGTACACTAACACACTACAACTACTCCAAGCCATGGCCCCCATTCATCCCTTGGCAAGAGGTTTTAAGAGAAATTACTGTGAATTCTTAGAAAGAATGAAGATGCTTTTGAGAGAATCTGTCCCCTGAGGAGTGGTGAGGGGATAGGTGGGAGACAGCATTGTTGGCTGGGACACTAGATAAAGAATGATCTAAGTTCACAGTTGGCTTCATTCAAAAGACATGTTTTCATTAGCACTTGAAGTGTAATGATGGTTTGTATTTCTGTCCCTGGAAGTATTCAGCAGCCTGAGGGTACAGATTGAAATAAAAAAAGATAGCTTAGATGGAAAAAATGAAAGTTTGTACAAGACCAAAGAAAGCTTCCTGCTGACAGTATTTATTAACTTAACAGTTTTTTCCTTTAATAACCGAGTTCATGGCAAAGGTGTCTGTCTACTTAAGAATGTTATTTCAGTGGAGACAAATCCAAGCAAAAAATGTATATACTGAGCTCAAATGTATGATTCCTGTAGCATTATACTGTAAAGTTTGTATAAATCAAATGAGAGCTTTGGTGGCTCAATGTGGAAATGTCTCAGAAGGCTTATGTGTTTTACCTCCAATTTGCATAAAATGCTGTTATTCAAAACTAATTTGTGGAAACAAATTTATGAATAATGAATATTAAATTTTAATTCAATAATGCATGGTTGATTGACACATATACACATATGTCTTAAGAAAAATAAGTAAACATATTTTACCTTACAAACTCTTCCAACTCGAGAAAGGATGGTCTTATCAGAAGTACTGCCTTCTTGAGATGATTCACGAAAAAAGAAATATATTTTGTCATCATCTGGATTATAAGTGTCTGGAATGGGGAAAGTTCCAATAAATTTTGCTCCTGTTTGAAAAAAAAAGATAAACATTAAAATACTAAGACTAGAGGTATGGCTCAATAGGCACTTGCCTATTAAGTTCGAGGTCCTGAGTTCAATTCCCAGTACCACATAAAAACACAAAACAATCCAGCTATAATAGTGCCAGGGATTTTTATAAGTAAAACAGTTAGCAACAGAATAAAAAGAGTGAACCAGGAGTCTGATGTGGGAAACAAGTTCAGGAATTCCAGAGAGCAGGTGAGAACATGCCTGGCTAATACTTACAATTGTTACAATTCTACTAAATCACAGTCACACATAACTTAATGAAAAGGGAACATTTTGAGAAATGCCTTGTTTGGTGATTTCATCATTATTATGTGAACATCATAGAATGTAATTATACACACTGATATGGCTGTCATGTCACTAGGCTATACTGTTATGGAAACACAGTGTTGTATATGTAGTTCAATGTTGACAGAAATATACAGATGCCTACTTGGAAGTCTTTAAATCCGGTGATTCTAAGATTTTACAATTTCCTTACATATTATGGAGTTGCTGCCTTTAAACTATTGTGTCTTTTATAAAAGAGATTGGAAAAAATTATACATATAGCCCAAATTTTGACATATGTGGTGTTCTTTCTTGTATTTTGTTAAATTTCCAAAGGGAAAAAGTGAAAACCACTAATAGTGCTTAGAATATGTCCAGCATATGCTCTAGAGATGTTCTTTCTGGGTTTATATCTTACCTCTGCCACTTCCTGTAAAGGTGACCTTAGACAAATTATTTATCTTCTCTAAGTCTCAGTTTTTTGTCTATGTAATATGAACCTCTTTACACCATCTACCTATTAAGTTAGTATACATATAGCACTCAGCAACTAGCTGTGCTGGACATAAATGAGCATTCAATAAATGCAACTTATTATAAAGGTGGTGATGGTCATGATTGTCTTTACCATGATTATAAGAAGAACTAAAAAACTAATAAAAATTGTACTTGCGTCCCCTTCTTGTGGTGGCTTGAACAGGTTTAAACATTCTACATTCATTCTTATATACAGTACATCAACCATATTCACCTTCTTAACTTCCTTCTTTTACCCTCCCCCTCATATGTGACCTCCCCTTAATGTGACCTGTTTTTCATAATATTGTTGTATTAGTATTTACTTGGTAAAAATGGCATCAATCTCTATATACTGACATGGAGAGTTGTCCAAAATATGTGGAAAGTGAAAAAGTATTTGCAATACAAAAATCCTTTCATACTGCATCAAATGACATACCAATTTGTCTAACTCCTTGTTTAAAAAGCACTGCACATTTTGAGTCTTGACTTTATGTAACCATGGATTAACCAGGTAACAGATCTATAATTGACTGATATTAGTCCACAAAGAGTCTTTTTCTTTTATTGTTGTACTGGGTGGGAGTACATTGTGGCAGTTACAAAAGTTCTTACAATATATCAAATATATTATACTTGAATTTACCCCCTCCACCATTCTCCTTTATCCCTCCTCCCTCCATTTCTGAAATAGTTTCAACAGGTATCATTTTTCTGTTTCTATACATGTGCAAACAGTATTTGCACTATGTTCACCCTCCCATGTCCTTTCCGCACCTCCTCCCACTGGTACCAACCCCCTACGCAGGACCTATTCAGCTCTCCTATTCTCTGATTTTGTAAATTTAAAAAATGGCATTTTAATTTGTTTAAGATAGCTACACAGAGAGTTTCCTTGTGACATTTCCATGTATATATGTATTATAAACCCAATTGGTTCATTTCCAAATTTCTTCTTTCTACCTTAGTCCCCTTGTTGTGGTGGCTTGAACAGATTTAAACATTCTACATTCATTCTTATATAGAGAGTACATCAACCATATTCATCTTCTTAACTTCCTTCTTTTACCCTCCCCCTCATATGTGACCTCCCTTAATGTGACCTGTTTTTCATAATATTGTTGTATTAGTATTAGGTCTATATTCTACAAGCAAGAAAAAACATGCAGCCTTTGGTCTTCTGAACCTGGCTAGCTTTACTTAAGATGAAGTTCTCCAGTTCTATCCGTTTATCTGCAAGTGACAAAATTTCATTCTTCTTTGTGACTGAATAAAATTCCATTGCATGTAAATATCACATTCAGAAATAGTCTTTTGATTGAAAGCGAAGAAGTTAGAGTGGCTGCTGAGCAATGAAGGAAGTACTTCAATTAACTGGAATATTTGTAAAATCTAGAAGGAAGCACAGAGCACTGAGTGTTTAGGAAGTAGAGGCAGGAAGAAAGAAGACAAAAAGTCACAAAACAAAAACAAGCAAAAAAATGTTTGTAGGGTGAAAAAGATCAACATTGTCCTCTGAGGTTTTGTCTATGACTCTGATAGCTATGTACCCCAAGGAGTACTGTAAATCATTCCCCTAAAAATTTGCAGCAATTGGTCAAAATCTGATAGCATTTTTCAATGGATACAAGTCAATGTCGGGTTCCAAGGGATGGGAGGGTTAGTTATAACCACCCAAGCTTTTCTGGGTCAGCCTTCAGTCTCCCATCCAGTCTCTTCTCAACTTGAGTGAGAAGGGAAAAAGAAAGGAGGAAAATATGTGCATGGACTTTCTTCATTCTTCAGTAGCTCCCTGATCTTCACTGAAATTCAAAATTCCAATGGACTGATAATTCCACTTTGGTATAGACCTAGAAAATTGTATGACAATTAAATTTCAGAAAACCATGTAGGACTTTTAAATTTTTTATTTTCTAATGAATTTTTAGTCCATGGGTGAGGCCTGCCAACAATTCCACTCAAGATTTTTTCCTTCCCCTTCTCCTAGGCTCTCTTTCAGGCTGTCGATAAATCATACTTCATTTTGATCCTTAAGCTAAGTAAAATTAACCCTTTTTAAATCACAAATTACATTTCTGATAAAGGGCTCATGTTCTTTTTCATATGTGGAAGTCAGATCCAGAAGATAAGTGTATACACAAAAACAAATATGATCATATACAAATGTATATGTAGAACACTTTTGTAATAGTGGAACTACACTAAGGAACTTGGGGAAAGAGGGAAAGGAAAAGGGTATGACAGAGCATCAACAATATTATAATAAATAACATCTGTGAAGGTAGAGGATGTAAAGATATGTACTGAGACTGTTGAAATATAAGCCTATTCAGAATTGTCACAATGAATCCCCCGCATACAACAAATACATCATAGTAAAAATTTTAAAAACCAAATTACATTTCTGATTTTTATTTAATTTTTTTCTTAAAAAACAATATCACTGTGAATAAAATAATTCCACAGTGTAGAATTAAGATTTTCAGCAAATTAATGAAAACAAAGAAATGATTTATTTAATTACAACTATATTTAAAGACTGCTAAATCAAAGAATACTTAAATGAATAAGAACTGACTCCACTTAAATTTTAATCTCAATTAATGAAATATTGATGTTGAGTGACTCAAGTGGTAGAGCGCCTGCCTGATAAGTGTGAGGCACAAGTTCAATACCCTCCAATACTACCAAAAAAAATAAAGAAATAAATATTGACATATGGTCATGGACAAGATCTAACCCTGATGTTCCCAATTCCTTGAGAGAAGATTACAACAATGAAAAAGGAAAAGGACAACCAAAAGTGGGTTCCTATAGACACAGGACCAGGGATTGACAATAATTTATACAACATTTTGAATATACAAATTTTTAATCCAATGCCAATAAACCGAATGAAAATCTCTAGCTGTATTTTAAACATTTATAATTACAAAAACAAATAAAACTATAGTGGATTCTTGTAAGCATTTAAATTTGAGAGACACAAATATTGATTACCATTCCACATAGGGAGAAAAGGAATGTAGTTAGACTCATTGACCCATGGTCAAAAATGTAGATTTATGGATGGATAAGGGCAGTGAGGATGGAATCATATATATAAATTCATAAGTAATTACAATGAGAATTTTTTTCAGAAGTGATAAAACAAACTGAGTGTGATGGCACCTTATCTACTTGAAAGGCTGAGATCTGGAGGAATGAGCTTCTAGGTCAGCCCTGGCAAAAAGTTCACAAGACCCCATCTCAACCAATAGTTGAGACGAAGTGCACCTGTCATCCCAGTTATGGTTAGAAGCATAAAATAGGAGGATTTCTGTCCAGGCCAATGTGGGAAAAACACGAGACCTTATCTTCAAAATAGCAAGAGCAAAATAGGTTAGAGGAATAATTCAAACTTTATCTCTGTAGTCTGCCTAGCAAACGTGAAGGAATGAGTTCAAACTTTGGTATTGCCAAATAGACTTCTCTTATCTTGACAAAAATATGAGTTTAAAATGGGCTCTAACATGAGTAGAGTTTATTTGTAGCATTTAAATATAATTTCAGTAGAAGTCATGCAATACAATTACAATGACTTGTAATACGATCTTATTCCATCTAGATAATGACTGACCTAAATTTATAGTTAAAATTAAAAGTGTTATAATACTTTTATAATGGAGAAAAATTTATACAAACTTTTCTCCAGAAAGAAAATGAGAAGTCTATGATGTGAAACATAAAACCACCCGAAGTAACAGGAACACCAGTGTGTGAGAGAGTTGCTTATAAATCTAGTCTTCAGATGCTCAGAAGAGAGAAGTGGTCACATGAGCTGACCGGTCTTCACTTGTTTACAAAGTGAAGTTGATTGGTCTTCACTTGTTTTGCCAAATGAAACAGGACTCTAAAACAGAGCAGAACATACAAGGTATAAAGGAGTACAGACAAATGGGAGAGTTTGAGGCCATATTGCAGAAATGCATAGGGAAATCCTCTTCTAAGATGAAAAACATAATCCAGGTGATGACACATAGACTATTTTTAATGATCAAAAAGAAGAGTATGACAGAAGTCCACATTTTAGGAATTTCATTATGACAACAATGGAGAAAAATAGTATAGATAGTTGTCCAAGTGCTATTTCTTTTAACTTTCAGCTAATGTATAACAAATAACA